ACTTAAAAGATTATGGGGCCCAAGAGCCCCCCGAGAGAAACAGTTTGGGGGTGTGGCAGGCCGAGTTACTACCTACTCGGCCAAACCGGTCCGAACTGGTAGGAACCCACCTCTGAGCTGCTCCAAACATCACCCCTGATCAACTTCTATCAGCATTCACCAGAGGTGGGTTCCTACCAGTTCGCACCTATTCGGTAGAACCGGTTTGTCAAATCTACCGAACCGGTTAGAAGAGTTTCCACCAGGGGCCCCGGAAAGCAGGCGACACCTACAGAAAAGGTTCCAAATTTTTTTGAAACCCACCATTTGTCCTTGGATATGATTATNGGTTCGAACAATTTTTGAAACCCACCACTGATGTTTACGTGATCTGAGCAGTCTGGATCATCACTACTGAATCTTTAGCCCAGGTTGTGATATTGATAGGAAGAAAAGGTTGGTACAAGAAAGACAGGGTAGACATGCCATTAGCTATCCATCAGCAGTTTAGCCTGAGTATGTTGTCTGCCTACTGGATTTCTGCTAGCTGCAAAACACATTGAATAGCTGTGGGACTCCATCCAACATATTGTTATGTCAACAGGGTTTTATATCACTTCATCAATAACTCCTGTGGCTTTCTGCTGCAGAAAGGCTCAGCGGCACAGACTGAGGACTGACTCTTGGAGAGATTTGGAAATGATAGGGATGAGCGGTGGAATGGAATCTGGTAGAAAAATGCATAATAAACTGGAATCCTAAACAGCCACCTTTGACTCTTTAACCTTTTATTAAGCAGGTGACTGATTAATCCTTTATATATCTTTTGTGTCTACTCATTTAAAGTGAGAATTGCCTGAAAAATACAGTAGGGTGTTGTTGTTTTTTTAATCAGTTAACTGGAAAGGAATTGTAAGCAAGTGTGATAAAAGAGGAAGTATTGCTAATGTCCCTAGAGATCAGAAAGTGTAGCTATGTGAAGTTGCCCCAAAATAGGAAACGACGTTGGGCTAGGAAAAAGCATGAACAGAAAATGGTCTCATGTCAAAAGTTAATTAATGGTGTCCCCATGCCCAGTGATACACATGAAGCAGTTCAGCCTATCAAGACAGCCTGGCATTAGACAATATAGTGAAATAGAATAATGGTCACATGATTCCTCAAGAGGGAGAATTATCAGAAGTTAAATCTTATCTTGAACAGTCTCTATTCCCTTCTTTGGTCATGATTGCACAGCTTAGAAAATTGCTGCTTTATTCATAGCCTCCCCACCTTTATTCCTGCTGCCTCTGAGTTGTTTTGATCATGCTTCTGAAATTTCATTAGGGCCAAAATACCTTTTTCTTTAAAAAAAAATGGACAACTTAAAAAATAAATCCCACAAAACAAATTCCCAAGGAGCAATTGTACAGCCAAGATTGCTGTCAACCTTGATTTGCTATGGAGATCAGTCTTTATCTGTCAGCCAATAAATTTAGTTGAGACTTAACTTTATTAGCGATATCTAAACGCGTTATGCATATGCTCTCCAGCATATGGGCAAATAGGTATCAATTTATTTTCATTAGGGTTTTTATGACAGGTGCTATTGAGTTAGGGGCTTCTGGCTTTGCTGGGGTTGTCATTACTAGGCTGGCTTTGTACAACCGGAAGTTCCATTTCTTAGAATATTAAGACTTGCCCTGCAGAGGTCTTCTTAAACTGCCTTCGGCTAATGGTTGTCTACAAATTCATTGGCAAATCCTGAGCATCTGAGGATACTGCTCAGAAGTTAGTCCAGTGATGGCAGACCTTTTCCTTATGATGTGCCAACACCAATTAAATCCTCCCTGCCCACCTGTGCATGTGTGCATGAAACACCCCCCCTCCATGCGCATGCATACATGGAGGCTTTCCTGAAGCCTGGGAAGGGTGAAAACGGTCTCCCCCTAGTGGCCCTCTGGAAGCCAGAAACAGATCGTTTCCGAACTTCCGGTTGGACCGTTGGGGCTGTTTTTCGCCCTCTCCAGCCTTTGGAGGCTTTCCTGAAGCCGGGGGAGGGCAAAAAACTAGGTGGCCAGTGCATGCATGCATGCATGCCGGAGCTGATGGCTGGCGTGCCACCAAATATGGCTCTGTGTTCCACCTGTGGCACACGTGCCATAGGTCCACCATCACAGGTTAGTCTGTTTATCCACTAAGCTTAATGTTGGCAATGGCTCTTTGGGGGTCTTCTTTCTCTTAGTTGAGGGACTAAGTTATATTGCTTTTGGACATTGTTTTCAGCAGTTGCTTAAATGTAGGCCTTTATACTGCGTTTAAGACAATTGCTGATATTTTTGGCAAATACTTCAAAAGAGAAAAGCGGATGCATTAAAATTATTATTAAAATTGCATTAAACAGTAAACAGTAACAGAGTTGGAAGGGACCTTGGAGGTCATCTATTCCAACACCCTCCTCACGCAGGAGACCTGCACTAGGGATTCAAACCGCCGAAGTGCCGACCTTTCTGATCGACAAGCTCAGTGACTTAGCCATGAGCCACCTACTCATGAATTAATTTTAATAATATTTGGATGGACACTCCATATGTATTTCCTCTGTTCAGACATTTCCCAAGTTGAAGGCTACACTATTAAAACGAACAAGGGAAACTGTCTTAGAAATCTCTGTCAATGGTTCTGCTAATACAGAGCAGACAAACTCCATTTCAAGCCGACCCTTTCATTTATTAAAAAGGAAATAAGTTGTCAAATTTTGTTCAATTGCAATTGTAGTTAGAAGACTCTGAGTTTGAATTATGCTCAGGGCTTGTTGGTCTGGCTGCCGAATGGCAGCACTTGTCTGCCAGTACCTTCTGTTCTCTAATATGCTAATTTCTCACCTTGTTTTATTGGCTTACATTGTCTTATTACTTTCCTTTTGATCTTTGACCATAAAACAAATGAATAAAAACACTTTAAAGGCTATACTCGGCTAGGTGTGCTAGGACTTTATCACCCTACCCCACCCCATAGGTAAAACCAAGGCAAAATCTATATTTGATTCTCCAGTTGATACTCTTCAGATATGAATTGAATCATTTCTTGTACACCAAATTAAAAAATCTTCCGGTGCTCTCTAGAGCTGCACATCAACCTTTTGGATGCAGTCCCGAGACCTCCAAGATTTTAGAAATATTTGTGATTGCTAATAGATGCATAGTTTAATGAATTCAGGACTTTCCGTTTATACCACGTTATGGCTGTTCAGTGAGCCTGCGGAAGCCATTTTAATTGGTTTATGCTTAGTAGCTTTCCTGTATGAACAAGCTCTAAATGTATAATTTTGGTTTTTGTTTTCCGGCCTTTGAATCACTGTTGACTCCTGGTCTAGTTCCTGTAGATTTCATGGAAAGATTTCAGAAGCAGTTTTCATTTGCCTCCTTTTAAGAGTTGAGAGAATGAATAACTGTCCCAAGGTCATTTAGCTGACTTCATGTCTAAGGAGTACTCCCCGTGTTTCCCTGGAAAAAAAAGACAGGGTCTTATTTTCTTTTGACACCCCCCCCCAAAATAAACGCTTAGCCTTATTTTCGGGGAGGTCTTATTATTTTTGAGGTGCAGGAGGTGGCGAGTGTGGTCACCTCATGGCAGCTGCTGTGTTGCAATATTTTTGGGAGGGGTTATTTTGGGGAAAACAGGGTAGCACTCACTGTCTCTCCTGGTGCTTTTACTCACTATACCAAACTTGTTATAGATGTAGAACGCTCAAGATTCTGGCCAAGTTGGGATTCTGTATGAAACATCTTCCCAAATTGCGTTTTTTTTTAAATGGACAAATTCACCCATTTCCTGTTCTAGCTTTCCTTGAAAAACTATAGTGCTAGCTAGTGAAACCCCATAAAACTTTTACACATACAAATATGAATAACTGTGGTAATAATTGTGCAGATATTGGGAGTTAAGTTTGTTACATTAGCATAGTAGTAGTAGTAGCAGTAGCAGTTAGATTTATATACCGCTTCATAGGGCTTTCAGCCCTCTCTAAGCGGTTTACAGAGTCAGCATATTGCCCCCAACAACAATCCGGGTCCTCATTTTACNGCTGCAACAGAGAAGGCTCTCCCCCGGGGAGTCGCCAGCCGACATTGGCTCACTCTGTGTGTGTGTTTGTGTGTGTGTTTGTGTGTCCTGTCACAGAATAGCTCTTGTTCTCCCACCAGATTGCCTGTCTCTGCTTTAATGGTACTAGGAAAAACATTATATTATATAAAGCAGAATTTCCTATGATACCATGAAGGAAAAAGAGTAGTGAATTTTCCCCATTACTGTCTCCTGAGGTGTCTTTGCCAGCAATAGATAGAAATATTGGAAAGCAAGCAAACAATTCCATAAATAAACATCAGATCTTGTTGAGTCGTATTGAAGGCATCTAAAATGATGTTCTCTGTGTAGCATTCTCCAGCTGTGTTAGACGATAATTTCCATAAATCTACAGCTTGCGTGGCCCGCAAAGGCCATAATCAGAATTATTCAGCAAGACACCAGATGGCTGATCTAGTAGGATCAATAGGATTGAATCTCACAATGTTGTATGATAGAAAGTATCCATCAAGGCCATTATTAGTATTGGGGTGATCTAAGACTATTGAAGTCTGTGAATCTGATTTTATTTCATATATCTAGAGCAGGGCTGTTAAACTCCCGGTCCACAGTCTGGATGCGTCACACAATGGCAAACACCCACATCCAATTTAGGGAAAAGGAAAAAATCCAGATATGTCATGTGAAGTCATTGTGATGTTGTCATGACATGAGTTTGACACCCCTGATCTAGAACTTGAATCAACAGCCTTTCTGAAGTAAAGCGATAACAAATTCGAGAATAAAAATGGAATGAAAGGTTCCTATCCCATCTTGCACTGCAAGTGGCTGTGGGTATTTGTTATGATTGCTGTGCCATTTGGGCTTCACAGCTATCCTCTCACCTGAATTCTGAGCCTTATTCTCCAACTCTGAAAACTCTGTGAAAACTTTTTCACTTTTTTTTTAAAATCCAGGCACATCACCTCTTCGTTCTCCAGGCTTGCTAAAGTGGGAGTCCGTCATCCTCCACCTTTGCCTTTCATTGGAAATCTGCTATATTTTCATGAGGTAAGAAATCTTTCGAATGATAGCAATTTGGACACCTTTGTCCCATCAGCACATTCCATTTGGTCAGGCAGGAAAGGTATGTTGCAGACCCTGTGAGTTAAAGAATTCCAACTGGTAGGATCTAGGAAAAGATCCTTCTCTGCCATCACCCACACCCTAGGGAATATTCTTCCCTTGGAGGCGAGACAGGCCCCCCACTCTTTTGGACTTCTAAAACGGAGTTAAGACCTTTGGCCTCATGCGAGGAGCCCAAGGGAGCATGAAGCCCTGGGGCTGGTTAGTCTTCTGAAACCTCTCCCTTTGCTTTTTAAGTAATTTTAATTTCTCATTTTACAGTAAAAAAAAACCATTTTAGCCCCCGTCCCTGAGGATATTACAGAAATGTAGTAATAAATGAATGAATAAATGAATGAATGAATGAATTTATACATTACAAAGGAAACCCTATTTATCCTGCCTTTTAACCATCTTATAGTTTACATTGATTGCCTACAAGTAAACTAGACTGAAAAACTTGCTGGAATGTCAGAATTTCAATGAGGTTATTCTAATTTCTGAATTGTAGAGGTGTGTATCTACAATCTGTTGTTCCAATGGCTTTCACAGGAAGAGATAATTCAACAAGATATCTACTTCCCTGCCTTCCCTTTTATTTCTCTTAGCATCAGTGCTCTTGTGCTTATTTGGTGACAGTGCTTTATATCCATTCTTATTCATGCTTCATTAATTCACACCAAGACACTAATCCTGTGTCTCAAACATACAGCTAAAATAAATGGATTCTGTTCAGGCTAATGTATTACACTTGTTGAAGTTGTGCAAAATGACTCAACCCATGTAAAGATATATGTACATAGGTTCTATTTAAACTTTGAAGTGAATACACGTAGAGATAAGGAATGGGAATATGTACAGCCTCTCTCCTCAACCCTGCAACCAGCATTAACTTCTAAGTAGTATTGCTTAAAGCTTCCTCAGCAGTTAATTTTACACAAGTGCTAATCAAAAGTGCACAAAACAGATGAAGTGGTTGGTTTACATTTAGAATGTCAGCATTTGGGGAAGAAGCTTGCAAATCAGATAAACATAAAAGGGCAGTAGGATGTCTCCTCAGGTTTGCAATTCAGATGGGCCCCAAATTCAACACCACCCCTTAAACCAGAGATTCTGTCCTCTCCTACTTCTAGTTGTTTATTTAAATCATCTCAACAAACATTGGATCATCTCATACAGCCTCAGAAAACCATAGTTTAACCACTGAGCCCCAGAAATAATCTTGGGAATGCTACCAAATGGATGTACTTGAAAAGTGAATGGGACTTATGGTGGCGATGGGGGCACGTGGTTTGAATTTGTGCTCTGCTTCATTGCAACGGATAAGTAAAATTATAATACTGTAAAAATATTGGCTGTAATAATTTTGGCTTATCAGCAGATCTCCATAAGCTTTTATTTCTTCCTCTATAAGCCTCCCCTCCACCCTGTCCTCCTTTTCATTTTATTAGCCAAGCTGTTGACAGGGTGCGTGCAGCTTCCCTGCCTTGAATTTTAATGGAGACATCACTTTCTTGAGCTTTTCTCAGAGTGGACAGGATATTCTTTGTTTGCTCTGTTTATTCCTGTCTGGCCTATTTGTAACTCCTGGACTGCTCTGCCTGAGTGGCCCATTTTGGTTGAATGGAAGATGGGAGCTGGTGGGGGCAGGGATGTGGGAGCTTTGTTGAGCTTTTGGTTCTGGCTGGGCTGAGCTATTTTATAGCTGCTGGGAGGATGAGGGGGCAGGGAAAAGAGAGAGAAGACATTACCCATTCTCTTTCCCACATTAAACTCCCTTTGATAAGCAAGACCAACAAACACAGAATAGGACAGAGTTGCGGAAATAAAACACTGGCCTACTTTACAAACTACATTACCAGTGCTTATATCTTGGAGAGGAGAAGTTTGTACCAACAGTGTTGGACAGTGAAGAAGTAAATAGAATGGAACTGTATTTTCTAGCTATCTGCCTGATATTTACATTGAAGAAAAACAAATCCTAATGTTTTCTTTTCTTCCCCTCCCAAATTTGGATACGGACGGGTAAGCTCTAAAGTAGGTTTCTCTGCTGTGACATCAAAATGGAATTCAAAGCAGAGAATTGTAGGAGCTGCAGTCACAACATGCCCCCTTGAGCATTTCTCTCTCTCTCTCTCTCTCTCTCTCTCTCTCTGTGTGTGTGTGTCTCTCTGTCTCTCTGTCTCTCTCTGTCTGTCTCTCTGTCTGTCTCTCTCTCTGAATATGTCTCCATTATCGTTTCAGTCAGTTTGGTTTGAAGATGAATGCTAGTCTACCATTACAATGTAAAACAAATCTTAATTCTTCAGCATTTCTATATAGCAGCATTTCTATGCCCAGGAAGACTTTATTTCTTAAGGCACATTCAACTGGTCATCTGCAAAATCATTTTAATTAGCTAAAAATAATATGAGTTCTGTGAAGTTAAAAATTCCTGGGTGAAATATGATTTTCAAGGTAAGGAGATATCAGGTAATCCTAAAAGTTGAACTCAGAATAGTCTCTCTAAATCGTTTATTTCCCATGAGGTAAAATGCATTTAATTACCCAATTAATTTATTGTAAGTCTGATTCTGTCAAACATTCCACCAGATTTCTTTTGCTTCTGGTCACATGGATTTTACAAGCTGTTGATCACAGTTCTGCACCCTCATCCAGAGCTTCTGGAAGAGTATCATGTGTTCTCTTTGCCTCCTACAGTATTAGAGGCCTCTGGCTGCCAGTACTGTCAGATTCAATTGATAAACAATTCAACTTCCCCTCTGATTTTTGTCATGGTCAAACTTCACAGAGCCCTGTTACCCATCAGGAAGTTAATGAAGTATGTAACAGAAATATCCTTCCAAGGAAGCACCATGTTGCTCTTTGGAAATGGGAAGCAGGATGACAACTCTATGCTAATACCTCCCAGTGGTGTAATAGTAATGGTTTAATTTAGTCATCATTAGGAGGACAATTTCTTCTTGCAAAATGGTTTCTTACAACCTTTTGGGCAGCAGGAGAGGTTTTTCCGTGGACTGGAGGAGATGTGGTTTTGCATGCTGCCTGTATCCCACAGATAGGACTTCACTTGTTTGCATGGGTGGCCCGGGTCCACAGACCAGATGTTGGTGATGACTGTATTAGAATATTTAACACATTGTTTCTCATCCATACTGAGGACAGAGTATTCCTGAGATGAGCTTTCTGAGTTTTGTGTCAATTTTTTGNAGTGCTGTGTGTGAGGTAATTTAAGGTGGTTCTGACAAGTGTCATCAGCATTTTCACATCCGGTCACATGGGTGGCAAGCCACTCCCACAAAGGAGGCTACACCTACAGAGTAGGTTCGAACAATTTTTGAAACCCACCACTGGCATTCACTTATGGAAACCCAATCCTAATAGGACAGGGGCCTGCTGGGCTACCTCAGCCCTACTCTATGCTTACACAATATACATGAAGAAGGACTCTGGAATCTTAGTGTTTTCATTAGTATGTCTAACACTTTAAATCCTTTGTGTAGTGTGTGCTTGCTTTTTAAAACAATGAAATATACTGATAATTGGTAGGTGGACTAAGGCAGTCATAGAATGGATTCCACTTGATAAAAAGTGCCAAATAAGACACCTAAAACAAGATGGAATGACGACATTAGGAAGTATTGTGGGCCCTTCTGGCAAAGGAAAGTTCAAGACTATTGGTTGGAAATATTCGGAAGAGGCCTTCATCTGCAGTGGATAGACAGTGAATAGAATGATGATGATGATAATTATATGATCTTAAATTAATGTTATGGTCTTAACATTAAATTATGAAAAAACATAGGCTGGAAACCAGCTCTATAAGTTTTGACCAGATCGTTCAAAATTCTTCACATTGAAATGTATAGTTGTATTTTTTTTGGCAATGTTTGCAATTTATAAATATCAGTAATTTCAATGTTTCATTGGATTGTTGTCTGCTCCCCCACGTTACTTTTCCTGAGTGGGCTGGTGCTCAGATTGAATAATAAATTAAATAATTTTTAGATGTATGTCAGTTTTTGAAGGAATTCAAGAGTGCTATATAAAGGCTTTGAGAGAATCAGGTTGTAGACTTTTACATTAAATCAAAAGTAAAGCAAAATATAATACTCCAATGTAAAGCATTGTATAAAATCTATGATAAATATTAACTTGCTGAAATTAAAAATACTTGTTTGAAATAGTCTAACCATAGTAGGCAATTTTTATGTTCATTTCTTCTTATATTCCATGTGGATTTAGATGTACACCTTTTCTGTTTCTGAAATGTAAAATACCTTTCCTGTGTGATTTTTCAATAAAAAAGATATATTATTAAATTTCTGTGGTTTATACATTAAAGATTGCATGCTTAACAGTTGGATTCTATGAGCAATATTTTGACCAAGATTCTCAAAATTTTGTCAAAGTGAGATTTACTGAGATTCAAAACTAAGTATGTGTGGTAGAATGGCTGGCATTTGACTTCTCAGATTAGGCTGAACACATTAGGAAGAAAAGGTTATCTCTGGTTACCTGAACAGTCAGCTTCTTTGTGTGACTTTTCACAATGCAGAACGTGGGGGCAATTGACCTGTTGTATAGACCTGACTTCTTTGGAACAGCATCCTCCAATAATATACAGTTCCCATTATCTAATTATTTAATTGTCTAATTGTCTATGCAGGTTGCGAGTGTTGAAAATTGTAGTGTGATGGAATTTTATTGTATTTAATTATGCAGAGCCTGCCGGAGTGCTATGCTAGGAGCAAAGTAAATGACAAAGAATTGTTGTCTTATTGTTGTTGTCTTGCAAGAGATTAATTATTTCAGGCTTACAGAGCATGGGGCATCTAACTATGCTTTAGGCTGATACGGTTACCTTTAGGAAGTTGTAATATCCATGAATGTGTAATTCATACAATTCTTACTTCACTCAACCATCCCCCAGACTTGTTGATAGT